TTTGCATTCCTTAGTTTCGCGTATTTATCGATAAAATTCTACTAAAAACATAAACTATAAAACAATTACTAGTGTGCCATAATGTACCATTGCTATTTTTGATATAATTGGATTTATCTTCAATTTGAAAAGAAGAAAATCGGTAAGTTCTTTATTATTTTTTAATAGATATATAATGAATAAATATATGGTGTAAAATATCAAACTAAAAGCCTCGTTGTAAAATACAACGATTAAAAGATATTGAATTAAAAAAAACCAAAAAATACTGCAGAACTACCAAATTTTTGAGTCACCAGCCGCCACTGACAGTAATTAATTAAATCTTGCCCAAGTACTTTCGATCAATAGATCATCCTCAGGAACATTTCGTCAGTTGTGGCCTATCCGACATGAGTAGAATGTCATACATGTAAATTTGGACATAACAAGACAATACACAAAGACAAACAAACACTTTAAAATTTTTAAAAATGGAGAAGCTACATGTTATATAGAAGCCGGAGACAGAATCATCCCTGAGGATGACTATTGATCGAAAGTACTTGGCAAGATTTAATTAATTACTGTGTTCGATATTTGCCTTGTATACCAACAAAGTTCAATTATTCGAACATTCAACCTTATATTAAAATAAATTAAATTCTGCACAATTGGAACGTTTCGTCCCTTTGGTAAAAGCCGCATTGAGTGTTTTATTGTTCCGATTGTAACCGAGTAACATGTCTCTTCTGCTGTCTTCCTTATAATGACTAAAAAAAATGAAAAACGAGTTTCGATGCAAAAAAAATCAGTTATCACTTAGAAATGCTTGATCATTTACGCCTTGGAGAGCCATTTGCATCTATATCACGTCCATTCAATGTTAAAGAATCAACTGTACACTCGATAAAAAATCGGAAGGTAAAATAAGGTACGTCTGTAGGAACTGTAGGTAGAAAATAGCTCAAGAAAACATAGAACCGCTCAAAAAGACTCGGCGTAGAAAAGCGATGCCTACATTACGGAAATGGGAGAATATAAAAAAGTGCCGTATGAGGGGAGAGGCTTACATAAATAGGTCAGGGAAAGCTATTGGACAGAAGAGACCGGAAAATGTAGATTGTAGCAATTACAGGTATGACACGATATTATTAATTGTAGTATGAAAGGGACATTCACGTTTTATTATTTTAGATTTAAATGTGCATATAATTTCACTGAGGAGCAACGTATTGCTATATGTGCTGAGTACTGGGCTCTTGGAGACACGCAAAAACAGAAACAAATGTTGTCTTCACTGATAACAACCAGCGTAGTTGTACGTCGACGGACTCAAGCTACCAAACCGAAGCAACATTCTTACAAGTATCATTTAAAAACTTGTGGGGGAAACTGATTCGAGTGTGTATGAATTTTCTATGCAAGACATTAGCAATAAGTCACCGCATTATTGACGACTTACATACATTATTATCTGCCACAGGAAACTACATTGGCGTAGATAGAAGGACTGGTAAAAAGCCTGCAAATAGTACATCTGACCATTGTATCGCTCAAGTTAAGGCACATATCGATTCTTTTCCCCGAATTGAATCTCATTATTGCCGTCGGGACACGAAAAGATTATACTTATCATCAGATTTAAACATTAGTATAATGCATCGTTTATATTAAGAACAAAATGTGGGTGCACCAGTGTCCTATTACGTTTATAAATCAATGTTTAATTCGTGACTGATCACCTCAACTTACTTTTTATGCACCAAAGAAGGATCAGTGCGTTAAATGCAATGTTTATCGTAGCAATTCTGATAAAACTGAACAAATGAAAGCCGAGTGGACGGCACATAAAGACCGGGAAAAATCTGCTATGGACATGAAAGCAGCGGATAAGACGAAAGCTATAAAAGACTCGAGACATTTCGATCAGTATCGTTTGATCTCCAAAGTGTACTTAGTACATCGCATGCAGCAGAATCCCAAATATACTATAAGAGGAAATTAACTGCATATAAACTTCACACTTTTCGAAAACCACAGTAAAGATGAATATTGCTTCGTTTGGAATCAACAGAGACGGTTATTCACTTTTCCTCTTTCTCCGATACCTGTGAAGGGTAAAACAGAAACAAACATGTCTCCGCAGCCATGTTGTATGCAGTGAATGACTTTAACCACTTAGAGACAATAGATTGACTTCAAAATTATGGAATCAGGGCACTCCTACTTAGAAGCAGACGCTATACACGCAACTATTGAAAGAGCGCGGAAACAAGAAAATTTATACAACTAGAGAATGAGCGTTACTTATATCTGCTGCAAGAATAAACCCTAGACCGTATATTGTTCAAACATTTGACATTTGAGGAGATTTATGACCAACACTTTCTGTCAAAGGAAACGCTACACAATACTACGAAAAATACTGCAGGTGATTCCGTTAACTGGCTTAAAATTAAATGGTTCCACTTTGTAAAGGAGGAACCCTACTCGATTCTTTACAAATACTTTCGTTGCTCAACAATGGAATAATACCCAACGATTATACATCGTTTTATTAATTTTTACCCTGTTCTACGACAGCATTACGAGATGATAATATAGATTCTGAATAAATTCAAAATTCAATAAAGTGGCCAATTCAATTTTTATTTTTTTTTACCTAAAGAGTATTGTGAATAGTTCAAAAATGAATAAAATTTTACAAAAACACTATTTTTTTTTCTTAGTACCTTTTTTCTCTGTAAGTACCACTTAGTAAACGACCGACGTGGTAAGTAGATACTGCTTATTAAATACTTGGACCCAGAAGAATATTGCTAATATTTTAAATGTGTTTATATTATTGTTTATGAACTTAAGTAACTATTGAATAATAAAGATATGCGGCAACTATAAACTTATTAACACATTTCCTACACAACATCAAGCTTTCAAATCGTCTCCTGGAAAATTATTATTTTTGTACTTACCACTTATGTGCACTATACCATCGATACCCGCGGATAAGGAGCTTCCACTGTATAAGCACATATACGAAGAATTTACTATTTTTACTTGGGAATTAACCAGAATATTAGTTTAAAATAGAGATGCCACGAATAGTGATTGGGCTGAATACTAACTATTCAGGCAAAAGATGTGTGCATTACGACTTGTTTCATTGCGTTGAGTGCAGTGAGTGACGGAGCAGGTATTTTTGTTTGATTTGCATGTAGATGGTATCACGAATTTACTGTTAAATATTTCAGGAATGCTTTTTGTTGTTGTTAACAATTTATGGATGAAATGGAAGTTACAGTGAAATGGAAAATTTCATAATTTAGTAAAAAGTTTCATTGAATACTTTTTTGAACTGGACAATTGTTCAATGAAATAATTTGGAAAATTATCTAAAAAGTTTGATGAAAAGTCCTGAAAAAATTAAATTTTTGGTTGAAAAATTTTGAAATTTTTTAAAAATGTTTCGTTAATTTTTGTGCAGAAAAACAGTATAATAAAAAGTTATGTGACGGTTTTTCGTAGTGTTGGAACAAACCTATTTTTAATTAAAAGTTATGAAATTAAAAAATAAATACTTTGAATATTGTAAATATACATTTTTCAGTTATAAAATTAAAAATTTAACAATTTAATATATTAAAAATAAAGATTTTATTGTGAAAAAACAAAAAAAAATACAGTTTGCAAATCAATGGCATCGAAATTTATTTTAGGCGTAGATGCAAAGTTACATAAATATCTCCAGTTCATACTCCTTTCCCACTTCCCCCTAACTACATATTTCAGTAAGCCGACGGCCACGGCACCACGCTTTGGGTTTATGCAGCCACCCTCTTAAGGAGTGTTTTGAAGTATAAATCGTAACCAAATTGCCCATTTGAACTGCTCTTCTATAAGCGTCTATATTCTTTGATATGATATGGAGAATGCTCAGGTCTTGCAATGACCTCCTATTGGATCCTTTCTGTCCAAACATTAATGCTTTTAAAAGGCAACTTAAGAATCTGACTATTAACCTAGATATGTGATAGTTACTATGTGATACTGATTTTTTTTTTTAATTTTTGTGATATGATATATTGTTTTAATGTACAAATTTACTTTTATTTTCTTTGTTATTGTTTTGATGTCTATTGTACATGATCTTTACTTTTTACTATTTGTTGTATTTTATTGTAAATGGTTCTACCGTTGAAATAAATAAATCAAGCAAAGAATAATCCTAGCAAACAAATGCTATTTTGGATTAAGTAGACATAGAGAAGCAGAAACTTAGGCCAAAAAACAAAAAGAACTATATACAAAACTCTTATACAACCAGTGTTGACATATGGATTGGAGACATGAACCATTTCCAAGGCAGATGAACACCTGCTTATATTTGAACGAAGGATCCTGAGGAGAATATTCGAGTGACATCTGTGAAAATGGTGTTTGGAGAAGGAGGTACAACTATAAGATATATCACAGATATAAATATATATTTGGTGGTAAAGACATAGTATCTCTTATAAAAATACAAAGACTAAGATGGGCAGGACATCTGGCAAGATCACAGCAGAACAACCCTCCTAGAAGAATTCTTATGTCACAATCAGTGGGAAGTAGAAGTAGGGGTAGGCCAAACACAGATGGAGGATGAGGAGGTAGAAAAATAGGCGCAGCAAACTGGCAACAGTTGGCAATGGATAGAACTGACTAGGCGTAATAGACTTGGGAAGGTCAGGGCTCTTTTATAGGGCTGTAGCACCAACGACATTTGTTTGCAGCAGTTTCTTTTACCAGCTTCTTTAATCAGTTCTTCTATAAGAAGAAGAAGCACGAACGATGATGATTTCAGAGATGCTTTTGTTATGTTGACAATTTACTTTCAGTAAATATTTTCAAACCTTTAAAACAGTTTATGTTTGAACCAAAATTGTGTACTGTTTAATTATAGATGGGCAAGTGTTAGAAAAAAGAACATTAATATTTGTAATGCATATAAATATGATTTAACCACTAGTTATATTTAGTTACAAACCATGTTCACTGTTTTGGTTCTCTTCACTATAATCTAGCATTCCATCTTTCAGAGTTGGTTCGGGTTTCACATCATCAAGTGATAATTCTGAGTTAATTTGGCTCAAGAAACTCTTGGAATCTCCTGAATCTTCAACATTTGTGGTACTGAAATCATCAGCAGGGTTTTCTACCTTCAGCTCACATTTGATCAAATCCGGAGTATCTTCATAATTTTCCCAGTCAGGTTCTATTTTGCATTTTACATCGGATAATGAATCATTTTCCTGTTTTATTTCCATTGTATTTATATAATAAAAATAATTGAACAAATAACAAATAAATAAACAGACAAGCCTGAAGTTAGCGCTGCATTCTGCATTTAAAAATAAAAAATAGATTCTTCTGTTCTGTTCCTTGTTTTTACTAGATGAGAGATGAGTTATTAGGTAGGATAAAATAAAAACAAGAAAATGTTTATATTATTATAGTTTATAGTATCATTATCTTTGACAAAAATGTGTTTTGTATTCATCAATATCATTACTGCAATGTATAAACATCAAAATCTTTCTGTGAAAATAAGTACCCTCCCAAAGCACAAGTTCACTATTCACCAGAGATATGTATTCACTCTGTTACATATCTCTGCTATCGTCAAACGGGCCATAGGAAATTCAATGGGAAAATCTAAATTGTTGAATTCCTGCTTCCCTAATTAATTTACACCGAAAGTCAAGAAAAACTATTTGTAGATGACTGAAATATGTATTAAAAATAAATGTTAAAATTGTTCTACGAATTAAATGTATTCCAAAATTTTATAAAAAATATAATACATATTTCAGGCCACCCCTTAAAGTCAGGCCACACGAAGTACAAGAATGTGTATGACATGTTGCGTTTGGTCATATTTATGTTCCTGATATTTGGCAATATTTGAATTGCCAAAATTTTGAGTTGATTAAAAAATGTATTCAGTTGAGGAGAAAGTAGCAATAATAAAAAAAATTTATTCGGGCAATAGCGCGCGAATTGTCAGTTCTTTATTTAGCGTAATTTAACAATTCAAAGGAATTTAAAAAAATTTGAAAATACTGGGACTGTGATTTCTAATTTTACCTGTACAAACAATATTGCTGAGGTACCAAACAATTTAGAAAATCAAAATGAAATAAATGTATTAACAGCAGTTGTAGAAAATCCTAGAATAAGTTCTCGGACCATGCAAACTATAATATTTATAATTCTACGATCTTAAAAGTTTTGAAAAGGAATAAATTCCGTTCATATAAATTTCAATGTCATCAAGAACTAAGAGAAGGAGATGCTGATTGAATTGAAGTATATTATGATATCTTGTGTTAAATAAAAATCTGGCAGTGCTAGCACTATTGCCTGAATACATTATTGCGATTTTTCGTGAACTGAATACATTTCATCAATTTTATTGCTTTGTAAACATTTACAAAGTAGTACAAGTCAGTACTGACTGACAAAGAATGTAGAGCGTAGAACCATTTTAAATTAATTTTAAACTGTTTGTCCTTGTTTTAGTGTAGTGTTTGTACAATTTTATGTTAAAATTCATGTTTATCACATTCTACGCTTGCTGGATAGCCCAAATTTAACGAAATGCCCCTGAAGATGCTGTATTAAGCGAAAGTACTTGGGCAAGATTTAATTGTTAAAATTGTGCTCGATATTTGCCTTTAATTTTTAAAGTTCATTTATTCAAGCATTCAACCTTATATCAATATACTATTTTAATTGGAAATAAACTTAAATTAAATTATTAGAAGAATTTTTTTACCAGGCAACATAATCTGTTTGTTTTTATTAATAGTTTGTATGTAGATTACGGGATCTGATTTGGAACTCAAAACGTCAAATAAATGTCATTTTTTACCTAAATTGTGGCTGTAAATATCTTCGTAAAGTCGGTTCTGGTATGTTATAATTTTTAGCTGTCGAATTCACACTTTTATGACTATCTCTAACATCGCTAAATGCTTTATGCATATCTTCTTTTGTCCAAGATTGTCGGTTTGTTTTGTGTACATATATTCTGCCCATTTTTATGAGCTAAAAACTCCACAAAAATTATAAAATATCAGAATAAAGCGTCGTGGGTAAGTTGACGAATTCGTCATCGTACCTACTTTGTTTTTCGCCAACTTACCTCATAAGCTATTTCAAACAAAAACGTTGGTAATAACAAAAGTAAATGAACTGTTTTGTTAATTCGTTTCCTCTATCACAGTTTAAACATGCATGTATTGCTTGTATCGGTAGAATAATAGCACTTAGCCACCAACAGAGATTATTTTTGCGTTCACTAAAATTATAACGCAGAACATGTGTTACACTCTTTGCTGTTTGTAGCCAATCTGACGATCTATGTCCGGCAGCAAACAAATTAGGTGGGAAGTACGCGCCAAAACAGATGTTCTGACACAGTCGTCATTTCTTCCAGCGTTGCCACTGCTTTATTTTAGCCTATTCATCAACTTAGCCCCCTTCCCCCTACTTTGTGACGAAGGTTTAAGTAAGGACAAAAAAAGAATACCTACAACTTGCATATGGCACGATATATGAAAAAATAATAGTTTAAGTTCTAGAATTAGTACGTATGTTGGTAAATTAGAGAGATGTATGAAATGGAAAGAAGCGAAAGGTATTGTGTGACAGAAAAAAAAATTGTAACTGTTGTAAGACCAAACTTCTATGTGACCTAACCACCGCAGCCGGTTTATTTTGATGGATCTAATAATATCAGCTTTGTCATTCAGACAGTAAAGTTTGAAATTATAGTGTCTACGCCATAATCCACCCTCCTGTACTCCTCCCTAGATATGCCAGAGGATTTTACATTCAAAGCATCTTAAATGTGAGATGGAGTCGCCAAAACATATTTATAACCAAACAATAGATGAAGTGAGGAGAGGCAGACCTTGAGAATGTTGGGAGTAAGAAACTGGAAAGGCAATTGCGAGGAATAGAAGAGAACTAAGACATCCTTGAGGAGGCCAAGACCCACACCATGGGTTGTGGAGCCAATAATGATGACGATGAAGACCAAATTTGATGTAAGCACTGAATGTTGTGCAATTCAAAAGAAAGAACAATGCATGTGACAGAAAGTGCTTAGGTGGATGAGTAGCAAATGATGCCAAAATGAGAGACCATAGATTAAGAAATACAGTGAAAAATGAATGCATGTGATAAAGTTTGAAATTTTTGTTGTTAGTGTTAATTAGACAGTGACAATATAGTAAATGAATATATAATAAAATAGAAAAGATCAATTTGTGACAAGTCCATGGTCACAAAAATAAAGTTTGCTGTATTTAGTAAACTAAGAGTTCTACACTTTTGTGAATAGGTAGATCAAAAACAATACATTTTATATAAAGAACTTTATTGCCTAAACATATATAAATCAAACTTAGTAAGGAAGTTAGGTATGTACTAAACTAGCATACAAAATGAAAATAAATTATTATTATCATAATCGAAATAAATGGAAAGTGTTGAAACCATTAAAAATATTGTGTTTGAAAACACAACATTGAGAACATTTGAATGCATAACCAGATATAATACACAATTACTTTTTCTTTTCATCCTTCTTAGCATCCTTATCCTTTTCCTTCTCTTTATCTTTGTCCTTATCTTTGCTATCTTTCTTACTATCCTCCTTTTTTCCTTCTTCTGCATCTCTATTTGTTAGTTTGTTGTTAATAAGATTATGTAGAGCAACAATGGATCTAACTAAAGCTGCCAGATAAACAACTAACATTTGATCATTATTTTTAACATAAAATGATGTATTAAATGCATCCTGATTTATATCAGGTAAAAGATTGAATATATCTTGTAATTGATAGATGATTTGGTGATTAATTGGAAGTTGGTTTGCACAAACTTGTACTAAATAATCCCTGATATCACGTAACTGTGAATGGAGACCTTTTAATCCTAAAAGCTGATTTGTTATTCTCTGAGACAAAGTGCCAACAGTTGTATCCTTAATATCTCTCAATAAGTGTTCAACACCAACTTCTTCAGCCTCTTCAGCTCCAATTTCACTAGGAACATGCTCAAATGTTTTAGAAGTAGGTGAACCATCATCATGTACCTCTTCTACAGCTTGATAAGCCTCAGTCGGTAAACCTAAATCTTTTGGTTTAGCATCTATAATAACTAGAACTGAATTGGGACAATATCTTCTAATTAACTCATTAATGGCAATATCATTTTGATGCAATTTGGGGCCAGTGTGGTACCAACCCACTACTCGTTCCCTAGCATTAACTTTCTTAAACATCCCATACATATTTTCTAAATAATCATGGTCCAAGAACCAAACAGATTTATCTTTGTCATCTTCATCAAAGGGAACTAAAAATTAAAAAAAAAACATTTTATATATTTGTTAATATTATAAAAGGTTTATCAAGTACCTGCAAAACTGTTAGAAACATCTAAAACTCCTTTAGCACGCCAACAACCAAGAAGAACACCAACAACACGCTTTTGATTGCCGATTTTGCCCATTCGATTAAAATGGTCTACTACACTTAAAAGTACCAAAGGATGGACTATTACTTTATTAGTTGTTAATTCTTGACTCGGCATTTTGAGTGTGTTAGTGTGTTCTAATAAAATATTTGTTCCCAATTAACTATTTTGCTAAATAAAAACAGTATGACACTTCAAAAAATTGCTGTTCATTCCGGTGACAAGACAGTTGAAATCTGTCAAATATGCAACGTGTCAAATGTCATCAATGGTTGTTTTCCGCGTTATTCAAAACCAATGACGTATAATATATAGACTACGCAGTCCCCTATTCTCGCTATAGAATCGAGTGTCCGAAAGATCTCCTCTCAAGGTTGAAGGCATCGAGCAATAAGACAAAAGAGGGAATGTAAAGGTAGAAGGGGTAAACATATTGAGAGACAGGAAGTGCCATCTTGAGAGGCCACTTTAGACAAGGATAGATAGTCTCTTTCCTTGTTTAAGAAGTCAAATTAAGTTTGGTTATGTTATTGTTTGTCCCAACTGTCACATGAAATTTTATTTATATTGAAGTTTTTTACCAATTGTGTCACTTTTTAGACTATTATCGTTAATATTTAATTAAAACTTTCTTGTCTGAAAAATATTTTACAGCTATTGTTAACAAGTGTTGGAAAATTTAAATTTAGCGCCTTTGCATTTCCGGATATGCCCGCCATCAGAGGCCACTTTTTTGGTCTCCTTTTCATAACGATTAGATTCCCTCTTTTATCTTTTTGCTCGATGGTTGAAGGTATGTTTATCAAAACAGCGGCGTGCTCATTTATAAGTTAATGACAATAATTCTTTTTTTAATTAAAATTAAATATTTATGATTTCTTTTTGTACCCATCTATAAGAGAAATAATTATTTTGATAAAATAGTATGACATTTTACTAAAATAGTAAGTAAATAACTCTCAACAATTTAAAATAAAATTTGCTTGTCACACAAAATGGAGAAAAATGTTTTCATACGTCCATGATGTTTTCAAACACAAGCTCAACTTCGTGATGCTTCGTAAGAAATCATGAAACTTCGTGCATCTTCGTATCAAAACAATAAACAATAACAAAGGTATTTATGTTTTGGACACTTTTTAAAGCGTTCACTGAGTCTATATATTATACGTCATTGTTCAAAACACGATACTATGAATTTCAAAACCACATTCAAAACAGAATCTAATCTCGATGTTCAAAATCCATTTGAATCTTTCTCTTTTATCTGTCTATTTTATAATTAATTTGTGATTTTTTCGGAAAAGTCTGTAATAAACTATTTGTACTGCAGCCAATTGATTTATTTTACTTAATTTGTGGCTTTAATTAGATTAAAATCGGACATAATATGAAAAGTTTAAAAAAACGTAAATATCTTGAATCGTGATATACCTAACTTAAAAAATTAGTTATATATGAATAAGTTAATGAAATAAGCCAATAATATTAAGAAAAATAAGTTCATTGGTTTATGTTATTTGTAGAATCTCTCATGCAACTCATAATTTTCAATAATCACAGTTATAGTTGAATTCTTCAAATTAGAACAACTTCTGCCCATATTTTTTATAAATTGTATCGCAAATCAAGTATTTTAATTAAATATACATAGGTAATAAAAAATTAAATCTGAAATTTTTAAACATTTTACTCCAAAGCGTTTACTAATTTTAAAATCTTAAAAGCGTTTACTAATTTTAAAATCTTTAATAAGTAATGTATAATTACTGACATTTAAAAATAGTTTTGACAGTTACTGCCGTTTATAACTGAATTCGTGTGTTTTCGTTTATGAAAACAATCCTGTAAAATATATTTATAAATTAATGTAGTGTATGGTGCTATTATTTATTGTTATATTTATGTAATCATTATTTAAGTGTAGTTCTTTGATCTTCTTTTTAAGAATACCAGTGTGTAGTGATAAAGGTATAACTTTTTGCATGTTCTGATATTCTAAAATTTTTAATCCTGTTGTACTGATTTTGTCAGTAAGCTAAAATTTACATCGTTAGATTACTTAAATTAAAAATCATTCGAGTGAACAACAACACATTAAACATGAATTAAGTATATTAACTATATTAAATTAAATTATGGTTCCCCTATATTACAAAAGTGAGGTTACCTTAACAGGTAGCTGTGTTATCCTAATATGGACTTTGTAAACAATAGAAAAAACGAATTTGTTTGTAAAGACAATATACAGATACGAGAATAAAAATACTATATTATCACTTAACTGCTTTCAAGAATCATGTTTAATAATAATAAATATAAGGACAACTATTTTTAGTAAATGACAAGTAAGTTTATATAAATTTAGAAAAGTCAATGCAACACATTTTCCGCTAGTTAAGATGAACTTTTCTTATTCATTTATCATTTACAAAGGACTGTAAAGAAAATTGAATGTTATACTAATAGTAAAGTCTTGCTATATACCAAGTATTCCCTGATAGGTTCTAGTTGTATTCTTGTAATTGTAAATGTAATTTATTTTGTTTTATGCTCAAATTTTATCAATGATCAGAAGTAGTTTGTTGGTAGAGAAAACTAAATATTCCAAAATTAATCACACACTCATGAAAATGTAAGAAAATAGAGCTAAAATCATACTTCTTACATTTGTCATAAAATAATAATATGTCCTTTTTTATGATTAATTCTTCATATTTCAACTGTAATCACTGTTATTTATTCAGTTTTTTGTGTACCTGGACTTCTTGTATTACCCCCTGTAGAATATAATATCAGATTTATATGCTTGATTTAAAGGTAAAATTTTTGAAAGTGTCAGTTATAATGGATTTAATGTTGGGAAATATGGTATAACTTTACTTTCATAAGAAAAACACACAAGAGAATGGAAATATTATAGATGATCATCTCTGCTTTTAAGAAACTTATTATCGAAAAGAAAAAGTTTTTGTATAATATGAATAAATGTCTTATTTACATGACTATAACATTTTTGTCAATTTGAAGCTTATCCTCGAAAATCTTAATGGTTAAATTAGTGGGCTATTTCAAAAATATCTTTCTTTACAAAAACAAAATCCATTCACGAAGAATATTCTAAACATCATCTTGTACCTACTTGAGCTTTATACCTACTTACAACCGGGACACCCACCCCCTATGGTGAAAAGTCTTGGGTCCGTACAATAAAGCAAGTGGGTGGTGTTCTATTCAGTGCGGTTATGGGGTAATTAGAATAATACGAGTATACCAGAGTAATATTATTTACTGAATAATTAATTCACAACTTAGCAAAGGTACATATGGGACATGGGTAACAAATAATTGTAAAGACAAACTTTTATAAAATTTTATTACAAAATAATGTAAAACAAGATATTTTGAGGTCACAGTATTGCTGAATTAGTTTTTTATGTCTTATATTTTCTTTTGTTTTTTTTTTACTGACAAATTGGCTTTTAACGTAAATTACAGTTTAATAATAAATATTCTGAAATGGAAAATGTTGAGATATGCCGAATAAAAACATTCATGAAGTTAAAATGAAACGATTTACACCTATTAGTGGTGTGATTTATTAAATTAGTACTAATATAAGTACTAGTATAAAGCCCAAATCGCAGGAGGAATATGTGCATCAGATTTCAAACATCAGTAACAATGTATCTGTTTTCACAACTAAATTAGACAAAATAATGAGTATTATTAATTTCAAATGATGAAAGACTTGGTATTTTTGAGAGAAAAAAATCCAGGTCACTAACAACTTTTTTAGTTATTGTAGACTTAAGTATAGGAAGAAAACCTACTTGTTTCCTGCCTTGAATTTGGAGCCGTTTTTTAATTATCAACAATTTAATACAAAAAACGCAATTTTTTCTATGATTATTAATGGCACCAGTATTAAAAAAATAGATTTTTGGAAGAAAATTATTTTTTCACGAATTGTTTAATCAAACTAGACTATTTGTTAATTAATTAATATATAGACAAATTACATATTTGTAATGTACGTAGAAATTGCATAAAAGTTAAAAAAAAAGAATGATCAAAATCCATTGAGTAGATCCAAAGATATAGAAAATTCTATTAGTTTGAAATTGTTTGTTCAGTATTTAAACTCCATGGATTTGTAGGTTCTTCCTAGTCACCATTTGAACTATATTTTTAAAAATTCGTAAGGGTCCTGTAGGTCCTGTAAAGGTACAATGTTTGTGCAAATTTTTTAACAAAAAATACAAATCCCATTCTTTAACATGGCGTTAATGAGGTTCCTTAATTATTATAATCAAATTAGCTGTAAATTAACAAAAAAAAAAAACGTGGATAACTTGCTGGGGTGAAAATACTAGCTTTTCGAATTAAAAAAAAAAAAAGATTTTTCTAAGGACAATATTTTTTTAAAGTTATTCTAAATGTTTATGAACTACATAATTTCAAAAATTTGGCATCAGGATTTTTGACTATAATACATCATTATTTATCTTTTTTTAATACATATTGATAGTATAAGTCTTTTGCTTTCATTTGTCACCCACAGCATTACCCTGTTTTTATTATTTTCTGTCTTATGTTATTGTAAAAAACGGTCATGGGATAAACAAATACAATAACTTTTAAACTAATTAATATATCAGTCCCAAATTTTGAGGGTTTGGTACAAAAATACTTAACTTTGGGTGGAACTCTAAAGTTTAAAGTTTATGTTTACTAAAACTTTTTAACAAATATCAATTGTCACTTATTTTGTAGTTTGTGAAGCAACAAATTGACTTTTCAACTTTCAAAAATCGTCATTTTGAAGCTTTGTCAATATTCTAAAAAATAAAATTTTGTAATTTTATGTCAAGTATTTAGCTTTCTAATGGAGTGCAAAAAATCGCGTTTTTTGCATTAAATTGTTGATCATTAAAAAACGGCTCCGAACTTTAGGCAGGAAACAGTAGGTTTTCTACTTATAGGTCTACAATAACTAAAAAGTTGTCAGCTATCTGGATTATTGAGTGTCACGAAAAAATCCTTATTACCCTGGACTAATATGACTGGACAAGCAAGTGACGAAACAAACTTCATATATTATGTAAACTTTACTAACAAAAATGTTCAAAATAAATATTCCAATAGATATAAATAATCAAATTCCATATTCAAATACCACAAGTTATTTGAGTATTACTCTGAGCTCGTGTAAAGAAGAAAAGAAAATAATAATTCTGATTAATATATAAAAAAACAGTATAAACATTTGGAAGGAAAATATCACAAATCAACAGAAAATATTTTTATTCATATAAAAATTTAATTAAATCATAAGTACTTGCTGCTTATTTATATAAAATTTCCTCAATCGTCGTCGACTTTTTCGTCCGGAACATAAACGTCTTCTTGAACTACCCATTTTAAAAGCAATTAACACACTGGTTTGTCAAAAGTCGGAATAAGCCCTAATAATGTTATTCAACATTATTTATGAGCCACCCTCGAGAGGGTATTATACTTCTTACCTACCCGTTGGCGAGAATCCAGAAACTATTAGCAAGGACAGCCTGTACTGACCGAGAGAGAGAGAGAGAGAGAGAGAGAGGAGAGAGAGAGAGAGAGCATTTAGCAGAACTTTGAGATTTTTTAAAAAGTTTATATCAAATAGCTGCTTTGTGTTAAACTTTATGTTAAAAAATAAAAACAGATTAGGAAAGTGGGTCAAATACTGTAGTGCCCTATTTAAAAAAAAAAAAATTTACGTTTATTTTAACCAAAAATATTTGAAAAAAAAAAAATTGTTTAAACAATTTATTAATTTACAACCAAATAGTGCACTAGAACGTTTTAAGACCTTTCATATAAAAAAAGAATCATCTCAATATCTGTCATAGTTTTTGAGTTATTTGATATAAACTTTTATATTGGAATTTAGCTATGCCCAGAATCGCGAGGAACGGACTTAATTCATAAAATAAGATACCGTGGGCGCTCATGGGTTAATATCAAACTTCATTGTGAATAAACGCAACCAGTCATACACATTCTGCACTACGTGTTGCCTAAGTTTTACAACAATACTCTGGCAAACGTATTATATTTTTGCAAAATTTTGGAATGTGTTTAATTCTTAGAACATTAGTTTTCAATACAGGTTTCAGTCCTCTACAAATAGTATCTCATGACTTAGAATTTAGTTAATTTAGAATTTCCCATTGAGTTTCCTATGGTTTATAAAACATAAATAAGGAAAATACGTAACAATCAAGTTTTTTAAACAATATTTTATCACAGAATAATAAAGAATCAAAATGCCACTCTGCTTGAAAAAATAAGTACGCGCATCTCGTTTGCGCAGACGGAATCAGCCATGTTTTAAACGGAACCAGTGCTGTTCAGTGAAATTTTGTCTGAGGAAAATTAACCCAGTTTAAATTATTTAATTTTAGTTACTTCAGACATAATATGCACATAATTAATTCATACTTTTAGTTGGATAATCGATTAAATAATTTCAAATGTACTAAATTTATATTGGAATCAAATATATCTAATTTATATTGGAATCAAACTGCCAAGGTAAGAGTTGACAGCCAGTACACCGAAAATATCAAAATACAGAGAGGAGTCCGCCAGGGTTGCGTGCTGTCCCCACTACTTTTCAATGTCTACAGTGAAGCGGTATTTCAAGAAGCGCTCTCAGACTCAATAGAAGGTATATCTATCAATGGAGAAGTTTTGAATAACTTACGTTTTGCAGACGATACAGTAATAATTACGGATAACAACAATGATTTACAGAACCTAATGCAACGCCTTAATGAACGCTGTCATGAGTACGGACTGAAGATAAATTTAAAGAAAACTAAAAGCATGATCATGACTAAATCTGCACATGCAAATATCCAATTGACTATTGAAGATACTGCAATTGAGAAGGTTAATAACTATAAATATTTAGGAACATGGATAACATCAGATGTAGACCAAACCAAAGAAATTAAGACACGTATTGAAATAGCACGTACATCATTTATTAAACTTAAAAAGTTTCTTTGTTGTCGGGATATAAGGTTAGAACTACGCCTGAGAATGCTTCGATGTTACGTGTTCTCTACTCTTCTTTATGGTCTGGAAGCTTGGACACTCAAACAAGTTCATCTGAATAAGCTGGCCGCCTTTGAATTTTGGTGTTACAGAAGAATCATACGAATATCATGGATTCAAAGAATGTCAAACATGGAAGTAACTAGAAGGATAGGAAATGAGGCGGAAATAATATTAACTATTAAAAGACGAAAAATTGAGTACTTGGGACATGTGATGAGAGGGCAAAAATACGCATTATTACAACTTATTATGCAGGGCAAAATCCGAGGAAAGCGAAATGTGGGAAGACGAAGAATATCCTGGCTTAAGAACTTAAGGGAATGGTTTGAATGCAGTAGTGCAGAACTTTTAGAGCGGCAGTCAACAGAGTCCGCATAGCCATGATGATTTCCAACCTTCGATAGAAGATGGAACTTAAAGAAGAAGAAGTACTAAATTATTAATCTCTAAAAATTTAAAATACAGTTCTGTCATCTTCTTCTTCTTCAGCCTTCACTTATCCATTGTTGGACATAGGCCTCCTCCAATTGCTTCCACGCTTCCCTATCTTTTGCAATTCTCATCCACTGCTTTCCAGCTACAGCAGTTATATCGTCTATCCATCTCTTTTTAGGTCTTCCCACGCTTCTTTTTCTTTCTCGAGGTCTCCAGAATGTCACTTTATGAGACCATCTGTTGGTGTCTTGTCTTGCTACATGTGCTACCCATTGTTCTGTCATAGCTTGTCACAAATGTCTCAATTGGAGTCTGTTTCCGTCTAAAACATAGCCGCAAAACAGGCGGCATCTGAGAGTGGGCATTCTGATTGTTTATTATTCTGTGATTTTATTATAACTTGCAATTGACTTTTCTGGCGACCTATGATTGACGTTTTTTTTGACTTGTTTCAGATATTCGTAACTGCCAAACATGAGTGAAGTGCCAAGTGATAACAGTGCTCAAACAAACAATGCCAAAACCGTTGGTTCCGAAAACGAACAAGCTCTCGCGGGTGCTTCTTCGTTAAGTGCTAGTGTTACGTCACTGGATAATGTGTCGGTAGCAAGTTCAAAACTTTCTAAAGCGTCTGGAATAAGACCTCCCAGCAAAATAGGAAGGTTATGTGGCAATCAACACAAACCGTCTCTTCCTACCACGCCGACCAAGAGTGAGTTTTTAAATTTACTTTTATTTTTCATATATTTTTTATTTGTGTTAAGCATATTTTTTTGGTTTAAAACATATTTTCCAAAAATTATACTATTTTAAATTTGTCGGAACTCACATTTTTAATAAAATTAAGTGTGCTATTATTAAGAATGCTATTTTTTTTTTGTAAAGTACAGTGTTTTGCAGCGGTCGCAACCTTTTGTCGCTCACTGAATATTTTCCACGAATTTTCGATTCATCTTTTAAGAGGTAGTGGAAACGACAGTTTCGACATTGCCATATCGCCTTTGATAATCTGCCGCAGTTGCGGACAAAACCTCTGGAAGTTATATTTTCAGGTGGCGGTCTATAAACCCCGAAAACAATGTATCATTACAAAAAACGAACACAAGGCGTATGTCAAGTAGAGCGTTAGATTCACATAAAAATGTAGGTATAAATTGACAAATTTCATTTTGTGTCTACACTACGCTGCTACTAGTGCGGTCTTTATCATCCATTTGCCAAACTGTAAATTGCTAATATTTCTATTTCTGATAGGTTTACAGACTACATAATTAAATGGACAATATATTTGCCCTAACAACTAGATGGTCGGACAAACGAAAATTTATTTAAAACGTTCATCTTCACGATCTTGCTTATTGAACCAAAGATCGAGATCAATAATACATTAAACTCTATCATTAATAACAAAATATTGAAATGGGTCGGTCTCTATAAACTTGAATTGCAACGTTGGCGGCAAATAAACGAAAATGTTGCATAATTAAAATGTTGCAAACATCGTGACACTATATGTTCGAACAATTAAAAAAATTACTATTTTAATATAGGGTTGCCTCGTCACGCGCCTTTACAACCACGGCAATCCTGTCTGGTTTTGTCCATACTAAGGATTTACACAAGTCAGTTTCGAATCATTCCCATAACTAGAGACTGGATCATATGCAAAATGCATGTGCATATATATTATATATATATATATATATATATATATATATATATATATATATAAAGAATTAAATCTTTTAGCGAAAGCCGCTATCGCTTTATATATTAAATGGCCAACTATATGGCCTAGGAGACAAATTCGTTAAACTTCCCGTGCTCGAATTGGTATCACTAAAGTGTTATGATCATTTCGGCCTATCCCAGCCATCGTCAGACACTTGGGCTGATACAAATTCAAACTCGGAAAGTAAAACGAATGTCTCCCAAATCTTTACTACCGTGTAGTTAGCTTATAAAGGCGCCCCCTACTTTGAAGGCCGTGAACGAAACGATATGAATAATCGTTTTCTGTATCCTTTATGCTATGCGAAATGTGTAAAGAATTAAATCTTTTAGCGAAAGCCGCTATCGCTTTATATATTAAATGGCCAACTATATGGCCTAGGAGACAAATTCGTTAAACTTTCCGTGCTCGAATTGGTATCACTAAAGTGTTATGATCATTTCGGCCTATCCCAGCCATCGTCAGACACTTGGGCTGATACAAATTCCTTTATAAGCTAACTACACGGTAGTAAAGATTTGGGAGACATTCGTTTTACTTTCCGAGTTTGAATTTGTATCAGCCCAAGTGTATGATGATGGCTGGGATAGGCCGAAATGATCATAACACTTTAGTGATACCAATTCGAGCACGGGAAGTTTAACGAATTTGTCTCCTAGGCCATATAGTTGGCCATTTAATATATAAAGCGATAGCGGCTTTCGCTAAAAGATTTAATTCTTTACACATTTCGCATAGCATAAAGGATACAGAAAACGATTATTCATATCGTTTCGTTCACGGCCTTCAAAGTAGGGGGCGCCTTTATAAGCTAACTACACGGTAGTAAAGATTTGGGAGACATTCGTTTTACTTTCCGAGTTTGAATTTGTATCAGCCCAAGTGTCTGACGATGGCTGGGATAGGCCGAAATGATCATAACACTTTTAGTGATACCAATTCGAGCACGGGAAGTTTAACGAATTTGTCTCCTAGGCCATATAGTTGGCCATTTAATATATTATATATTATATATATATATATATATATATACAGCATATTTGTGGGTTTCTTTATAAATGCATATTATGCTATTGATATTTACTTGATTAAGAGGAATTGGTTTATAAGGTTTCTTGGAATTATTCATAGCCGGTACTAGGTAAGGTGACTACGAAATAATTTTATTACAAATATCTACTAAATCTACAAGTTTTATTGTTTGGGAAAACCCGTCTGGGAATTATTTATTAGAAGAATAGGGCCCACATACAGGTAGGTATTATACAGTAAATTCATTTTAAATTCTCTTTACCAGCTGGAAAAGCAACTTGTAATTGTGAATATTGTGCTTATAAAATAAAAATAACTTCTTTTTTGAAAATATGCCGCAAGTAGCGAAATAAAAATCAAGTCTATTGCGGAGTTGGGTTGGTGGCAACAGTGAAATGAAGAGTATAGACAATGAAAGTGTTTTCTGTACTATTTGTGATAAAAAGGTGAGTCCACTTATATTTTAACGATTCAAAAATTTAATTTAAAATCACATTTTTGCAAGAGAATCGGTATACCTATACTAAACATGTAACAGTTTGACTATTGGCGGTAGTTTTAGTTTCGAGAAAAAAAATATAAGTTATCTTAAAAATTTGAAGTCCGTATTATTGCATTAGACTCCTATTTACTAAACCGTTTTATTACAGATTCCATGTGAAAAAAAATTCCAAATTTCCCAACACCTGAAAACGGCTCTCCCCAATATAAACTATCTAAGGACTTCAAGAAACCACGCCAGCAGCTTCTGCAGAACAACATTATTCAAAATCGTCACACATCGACGGGGCAAGAAATGTTTGCAAAAGATGTATGCAATTTTTTTGTAAGTTGCGATATCCCACTGTATAAATTGGATAGCCAGGTGTGTCAAAATTTTTTGAAAACATATTGTAAAGTTGAAAATAAATCAGTACAAGTACCAAGTTCTTCAACTCTTTGCAAGAAATATGTGAGGGCATCTTACAAAGACGTTATTGAAGGTATTAAAAGCCGTGTAAGAGATGAATATCTGTGGATATCTGTCGATGAGACTACTGACGCCAACTATCGGCAAATCGCGAATTTAATTATTGGAGTTTTAAACAGTTCAGCTGATGACTCTAACAAGTCGTATTTAATCAGTGTAAAATGTTTACATCCCGATGCAAGGCATTCAATTAAACGGAGTCCAAGTTGAGGAAGTTCACAAAATGACATATTTGGAAACTGTGATAACGGGCCAACTAGATCCAGACATGAAAATAAAACGTAGAATAGCAATGACTAAAACTACTTTTATGAAAATGAAGTCATTTCTTTGCAATAATTTGCAATAGTTTAGAACTAAGGCAAAGAATGGTTAAGTGCTATGTTTGGTCCATACTCTTATATACTGCAGAAGTGTGGACGCTAAAAGTATCGATCATGATCAAAATTGAAGCATTGGAAGTGTGGGTTCATAGACGAACGCTGAAGATACCTTGGACAGCAAGGAAAACTAATGAAGAAGTACTAAGGAGCGTCAACAAAGATAGAGAACTGTTAAAGACTGTTAAACATCGAAAAATGTCTTATCTGGGACATATAGTAAGGGGAAGTCGATATAAAATATTACAACTGATCCTTAAAGGCAAAATAGAAGGCGGTAGAGGTGTAGGAAGAAAACATGTTTCTTGTTTAAAAAAACATTCGTGAATGGACTCTCAGATACCAAATGCAGGACAATTATTCCATATTGCAGAAGATCGAGAAGTCTTCGCAATGGATCGCTAACGTAGGATAATTCTGATATGGCAAGCGAAGAAGAAGAAGAAAATGTTATGTTCAGAAAATCCGAATCCGTTACCGAATCTATTACCTTCTCAAAAACTTTTGCTACTAGTTAGCGATGGCGCTTCCTACATGGTTAAAGCTGTTTTTTTTTTCCGAATTTGATTCATTGTACATGCTTAGCGCTTGGTTTAAATGGGGAGGCAGAGAAAGTTAGACTCGAGTTTCCAAATGTAAACACTTTAATCAACAATGTGCAACGAAAATATTTTGCCTACCACAGGGGCATTAATATAAGGGGTAGAAAATTGGGGGAAGAAACTAAGGGGTGGAGATAAGGCAAGCAAAATAATCGCTACTTATGCGAACGGCACTCAGGGTTTCGTAGGAGAGCTGGGGTCGTGGATAAGTAAAAGATAAGGGCATTGGAAATGGGGCAAAAAATGACTAAAAAAAACTAGGGAAATAATTAGAAAATAAAATCAAAACATAAAAAAACATATCTTTTTCAAATAAACTCAATAAAGGTTTAGCTCAAAAAAAAAAAAAATAAAATGTTAAGACAACAAAATTTAACATTTATTTATGTGTCACCACAAACAGTTACATGGAGAAATACAAAATTCAAAAACTTACATGTGTCATCCATTAACAAACTCCATTTCTACAAAACTTACAAAATTGGATGGAGGTTAACCTTTTTAAAAAAACAAAACAAATCAACATCAAAAATACTAAAACGAGCTGTCATAAATTAACATTAAATTTCAAAAAAAAAAAACGGAACACAAATTGACAGCTTTACTCAAAACCTAAAATTTACAATTTTAAATGTCAACGAAAGCAATTATTATTTTATAAAAAAAATGTCTGTCTTTAGTTTAAAATTTGAACAAAATGTTACCTTAATTCACATGATCACACTTAAGTTTCTGAAACCATAACTGGAACCTGGAACTGAGGGCTCCACTCTCTCTGCATCACGAAAACCTCCATCTCCAAACTGCCAAAAGCCTTGGATAAAAGCAGGAACAAAAAAAATCAAACGAGGATGTCCTTCAATCCTCACTCAAAACATTAATAATTGAAGCATTTACTGCCACAAAACAGATAACAAACTGCTACATTTTCTTCATAACAAAAGACGAAAACAGAATACTTTACAAATTCGACGTGAATTTGGACATAACGCTGAA